TTTCCCCGCATGGATTTTTAATTTGTTTAGCACGGTGTTCCCCCTGGCCACTGGCAGGGGATGGGGGGGGGGTAGGGTTGCAAGATCCAGGTTGGGAAACTCCTGGAAATTTGGGGATGGAGCCTGGGGAGGACAGGGAGCTCTCAATGGGGTTCGATGCCATGGAGTCCACGCTCTAAAAGTTCCATTTTCTCCAGGGGAACTGATCTCTGTAGTCTGGAGATGAGCTGTAATTCCGGAGGATCCCCAGGTCCCACCTGGAGGCTGGTATCCCTATGCTGGCTGCTCCAGGACTCTGGCCTTCTCCTTAAATTCCCCTCTCTTCCTTCATCCATCTGTCAACACAATTCTTTCCTTTCTTCAGAACCTTCTGGGCTCAATCAGAACCATCGCCATTTATTTTCAACAGGAATGCAACATGACAAGCAACAAAGCCCTCTCCAAAACAGCATCCAGAGAAATCTTGGACCGGAACCCTGGAAGAATCGAGGCTCCGCAATGCTTTCCGAAGCACATTTCCTTTAGGGAACGCAAATTAGCTCCCGTCTCACGTGTGCCAACCTCGTGCTTCGCTTCAGAAGAGACCACAGGCTTCAGTCAAATCGAAGGATCTCAGCCTCCCGAATTTTCAGCTATAGTTGCCCAAAGAGCTCGAGAAGCTGCGGTGGAAAATCTCCAAATTGCGACATCCAGGATTCTACCTTCCAAAAGCCAACACCTTTCCAGAAAAAAAAAATGAAGCCCAGAGTTCTAACAGAGAAGCCTCGGAACCAGACATACATGCTTCCCCAATGTACACCATTACTGAAATAATTTCACCTCAGGTTGCTAGAAAGACTTGAAGAAAACGTCTTCTTATTTGACCGCAAACTAATGTAACCTCTCTCGCTCTCTGTCACTTCATTTTTGCCCTCAACAAACCCTCAGTGCAAAGGGACAGGCAGCAAGAGGGGCAACAGCTGAAAAACAAATTAACAGACATGCTTTGGAGAACAGGCTGTTCAGAAACAACACACTTCAAGCAATGCAACAGGGGCCTGGTAGGCCACGGTGCCATGGGTAAGAGAGGGAAAGCAGAAAGTTTCCTTCTTTCTGGCTAGGCACAAAATGTCATGAGGGAAGACAGCATGGATAAGGAAGAAAGAAGCAAATGGGGGTTCAGCTAGGCCCAACTTCAGATTTCTGTGGTAAACGAAATTTACCACAGAATTTTGCCCTTCCGATTGCCTGCCCTGTCTCACCTTGTGCTTCAAAGGCTTTGTTCTGAGGTAAACCTTTGTCAGAGCTATACCACATCAAACTGTGTGGGGCACAAAATAATTGAATGTGCCTCCATTTTAAAAAAACCAAAAACCCTCACCTTAGAAAACACATAAATCTGAGAGAAAGGCTAGGCTGGGTAGGGAATTTTTTGTATGGAAGACCATCCAGTCACACGAGACCCCCAGCACTGGTCTGAAAATGAGCACACCATGTCTGTGAAAACTAAGCCTAAAAACTTTAAAACGTTCAGGTGGGGGGCTGTGTTGGTCTGAAGCGATAGACCAAAGTTTTGAGTCCAGTGGCACCTTTAAGACCAACAAAGTTTAATTCTGGGTATAAGCCTTCGTGTACATGCACACGAAAGCTTATACTCAGAATTAAACTTTGTTGATCTTAGAGGTGCCACTGGACTCAAACGTTAAAACATGTACAAGGAGAGAATCATCTGTCTGCAAAGTTAAACACCCTTCCTTTAGCCAGCCTAAGTGACCCTCTCCCGTCCCCATGGTCTTTGAGTCCAGGCCTTTGTGGCCGACTGCCTGGTGCCAACCGCAAGGCTTCCCATCTTAAAATGGAGGACACAAAGTCCTCTGTCCAGTTGTCATAACTTTGCTGCTTTGTACACTGTTCCCTTTGGCAACCCAGCTTGTTGGCCTCCAAGTCTCCTCCAAGCCAAGGAGCCGACCATCCTGAGCACAGAGCAACTTATTTGAAAAGAAGCCTTTTCCACAGCCTTCCAAATCCCCTTTTCAGCCCCACCAATTCCAAAGGGGGCTTTAGCAGGGAGCCTGGCAACTTCTGCGCCAGCCAGCCAGCCAACCCAGGCCGCCTGCCACGGGGGAAAGGAAGTTAATCTTTGGTGTCAACTAAATTCACATAAAACTTTTGTGGCTGTGTTCAGAGCCCCAAATGAGTTCCCCTCCCCTAAGGGAGAGGGAGACGGCTTCAGAGAGCTGATGGAAGTCCGCTTGCTGCTTCCCAAAGCAAGACAGTGGTGCCACACCCAAAAAAACCCCATGACCAACAGGAGCAGCAACCAGGCAAGGGTGGAATCAACGCCAGAAAGTTACAGAACCAGTACGCTCCGGCCTGCCCTACCTGAAAGAAAAAGACACCACCCTCTCCTCTATACTGAATTCCTTTCCCAGAAAATGGAGGGAAACTGGAAGCATCTGGGGGAAGGAAAAGTGGTTGTGGACTGCCCAATGGGCCCTGAGAGCCTCTTACTAGAAACATTCGCAGAGGGCTTCCCCCCCCCTCCCACAGCACGGGATTTCCAGAGAGGACTCCGCCCCACCCCATTCCCAATTAGATCCTACAGGAGAGCCTCATCCTTTCAATGGCAGAGATCTGAGACGGTCTTATTCCAAAAGAGCCCTAAGACAGAGGAAACTGAATGAGGGCCACAGAGTTCTGCTGGGGCCCTGAAAGAAACTAACACAGTCAAGCACTACCCTTCCAAAAAAGTAAACCCAGAAAGTCTGACACAGCCCTACAGAACAGGGTCCTCCCGATCTCTGCAAGACATTCACAACTATTCAGAGTTCTTCACAACCCACAGGACCAGACTCTCCTCAAAACTCCCTAAATCCTCGTTTGCAAAGAAAACACCGGCCTAGGGTGCTTCAGAGTATGGTGGGGGGAATCACCTAAATCTCTCCCGCAACGTCAAACTATGTCAGACCCTCTTGAGGCCGCCTGAAGTCCACAACTCCCCCCTCACCCGGCTGGACGGTATCTTTACTACCACTCCAGTGGCAAAGGCAACCGACACCAGAACTTCGCAAATCCTCCAGGCCGGCCCCACATACCCTTTCACAGACCCAAAGAGCCCCAGCCCTAGACCACGCCGAGCGGCTTCCTCAATAGGCAACCCCAAACCACTCCCTAGAGACGGACAGGCCACGTGG